ACTCTTGGTAGCAGAATAATAAACCCATGGACACTTAAAGCGGGAACAGTCTTAGGTATTCTCTTATTCAATTACTCAATGTCCAAATTAAAACATGATGATTAAAGAGGTTGTCACAAACTCGATAGCTATAGTACTAATATAGTGATGGATAAAGGGATCTAGAACGCCCAGTCCAGTAGTCCTTATTCTCTGGGTAACTTTTTTCTTTTGCTTTAGCCTAAGGCCTTGATTTTATGTCTTCCTTTTTCTCTCTGCTTTACAGACCCATCAGAGTCATGACAAACTAATGGGTATCCTTAAAATCCACTGTAGCAAACAATGCCCTAAAATTTAGTAGAGGATTTTATAAAAGTAAACAAAGATTAAACTTAAATACTGCAAAGAAGACAGAATAGTGTGGTGGTCAATGGGGAGCATTTATTATCACTGAAGCATACTCCTTGCTAAGTTCAGTGTGTCTCAAAGGAATTAAAACATGCACACGCACGCGCACACACACACACACACACACACACACGTACACACGATGGTTATTAAGTAAGAAAGTATTATTCTTTAGCTCCAAAACTCTTAACATTGTCCTATAATTATAATAGAATTTACTCATATGGAATGCCTGGTTTGAGCCAGGCTCTGTGCTAAACGCTCCAAATACAAAATAATCATCATCGGCAACATCAAGAGTTATATGACTCCTATCAACATCCCCATTGTACAAATGAGGCAACAGTGGTGTAATGAGGTTGAATAACTTAACTAAGGTCACTCAGGCAGATGGTTGCCGATAGAGCTGGAATTTGAAATTGAACAATCTGATTTTAGGGCCTATGTTCCTTTATGGAATCTAAAAGTAGATTGGAATAATACATCTCTTGGGAAGGAAGATAGTGTATGGAGGGTGGTAAAGTTGGTAGAAGCTAAATTGGAAGGATGCATTTCCAAACTTCATCTGAGAAGTGGAAAAAGTGACTAAGACCACTTCTCAGATCCCTTCTCGATGATGACCATGATGCTTTTTAGAATGAGAAGGCAACCATTGGCCATGCTTCCTCCTCTCCTCCGCCCATCATGGCACGGAGTACCAAGGTCGAACCTGCCTGGTTTAGGGGTTGGCACCTCTGACCTGAAGTTTAGGTGGTAAACTCCATCAGAGCTGGTACCATGTCAGTTTTGCTCATTTATGGAGCTCCAGAACCTAGCACGGTGCTGGCATCTCAAAAGCATCCTCTCAGTTCTTACTGAATGAATGAATGGCTGACTAACTGACTGACAATGAATGAATGCATCTCCCTGTCCTCTCCATGACTCCACCTCACAGTATGGCCTGGCTTCCTTTTCAGCCTGACAGCTGTAGCCCTGTATTTCTCTTCCTACTGACACCTTCCTTCTGTTGTTTCTTTCCCTTTTTCTGCCCAGTTTCTGTTTAATCCTCTGGTTTTCTCTGTGATATTTTGCCTTTTTCCCTCGCTGCGTTATCTGGTAGCTAACACTAACTTTCCTTATCATGCTTCATAGAAAGAACCAGATTTTTGAATTGTCCACTTGAGCATAGGGACTCTTCTTTCTCTTGTCACTGAAGGTATATGGTGCTCCTTAACAACTTCTGTCCAGCTTGGCCACTATAGTTACATTTTAGGTACAAAGTTACAGCAAAGTTTGCTCTCAATGACCTCAGTACGAGAGAAAACCATTTTTTTTTTTCCTGCTAATGCCCTTCTCCTAAGTAAGTTTTCTCCACAGTGCTCTAGTTCACTCTAAAACACAGTGAAGACAAAAATTCTAGACCAGCACTCGTAATTAGAAGTTTCCTCTTTAGTTCAACTCTTTCAGAATCAGGGTGACTCAGTAGGGACGGAGAAAACTGTGAGTCAATCTCCTCCATCCTAGCCTCCCAGCTTCCAAGCTCCATTCCACCTCCCTGAAAATGTGGCATCTTTATGACAACTACGAGAGACACTGAGTTATGATAAACCCTAAGTAGCCAGAGTCACAGAATGCTAGAATGTAAAGACTGGCAGAAAGCACTGTCAGTCCGTCCTTTATAAATGCAGATAGTAAGGCTGAGGAGGAGAAGTGGTTTCCGCAAAATCACCTGGTTGATTCACGGTCCCATCAGGAGTAGAGCCAGACTCTTCTCTGATTCATCCATTTCTGCTCCTGATCTTTGTGTCATTCAGCAATGCCACAATGGCACGGGTAGTATTAATGGCACTATGTCTAGCTATTGTCATAGGATGAACACAAGTTTTGCAGAGATAATGAGAAAGAAGGGGGAGGATAGTAGCATCATAAATAACTACATCTTTTAAAAAGTTGTAATGTGCTATTCACACTCTAGAAAAAGAACAGTGGGTGTTGCCCTTGGAAGGGCTTATCTGCAGGGTATCACATTCTGAAAATTAAAGTCTAAATGACTCCAATTAAAACAATGCAAACTCCAAAGGAGAAGCTAATGGTATGTGACCAGGGGAGAAAATAACCTTTAATTGTTACTCTTTGTCCAACCAGTGGAGTCTCCGTGTGTCTGTGGTACCAGTCCAAATGTGATTGGTAAATAGCCAATGGACGGAAGAAAGACACAAACTGTCACACGAATAGGCAGCCAGTTCCCCAGGCCAAGGAAGTCTAGTGCCAAGCCCCATTCATAACAGGTCAGTTGGCATCTTCTTGCTGGGAAGAAAACTCTGCCCCATTGAACTAAACCCCAGGGGACATCTGTAAGATTCGGAGTGTAAGCATAGACCCGAGTTTAAGTGTCCTAGAGTCTACCAGATGCCTCCGCATTGGGCTGCTGGTTTGGCTGTGTCATAGTAACTTGCTTGAGTCCTCCTGAGGTTTATTCAAGGGCCGCCTTGTGGCAGTTCTCAGCCAGGTAAGTAGTCTTTAGGTTATCTGTCTGGAATAGTGGTTAGGAATCTCTAAGAACGCTGACTAGGTTAACGATGCACTAGGATCCCAGGTTCTCAACACAGTATTCACGGATAGACTTCCCATGCACCGAAATACACGTGTGTCTCTGCATGTACAGGGATTCATTTTCCTGAGAAGAGGACTTCAGTTTCTGTTGGCCTCTCACAGTGGTCTTAGGGACACCGAAGATGGCTAAGCCTGGCTCCTAGCTCCTGAGAATGAGCTACACCTCTGGCTGGCACACCTTACTTACCCCTTATGTCCTGATGCAAGCATCAAGGTTACAAATGGCAAGAAGATGTTAGTTCAACACCTCTTTAGAAGGACCTGCTCTATTCTTCTCTTATTTAACTAGGGTTTGAAATAGCACAGTTCTCCCGTGCCTCTGAGGGAAGCGATGCAGTTGCTCTCTGGTCAGAGGTAACATGTTGGTTCTTTTCTGAACTTTCTGGCAGGAAGCTTGAATAGTAGTCAAGGTGAGGAAGGATGGAGGTGTGAGAGGGTGCAGCAAGTACAGGAAAAGATGCCTATTGTGTGCTGGGTACACTGCACTGAACAGAACAAACCCAAGGCATCTCAGACTGTCCAGTGAGGGATGGGAGCATTGTCCCTTTTCCCTTTATCCAGGGACCGGTTTATATTGGCCTGTGGTTATTGTTGTCAAGAACCACTGCTTCTTCCAACCCATGCAAGGAACAAGGTCAGTCGGGAAGACATTCTCTCATACCTCATACTTCTGCAAGTGGGAAACTACAGGATCCATCTGTCTGGCCAGGCGCAGTTCTGCAGAACTGGGGATTTCACCTTGGATGAGTCCAAGCTGCTAAAGTAAAGCTCTT